GACGACGAGTTTTTGACCAGATGGAAAATATTGAGTTAGTGTCACTGATGTTGAACTTCCGCTGAAGCCCTCGGTGGATATACCTGCGGCGGGGCTGGAAGGCGATGTCCGGGTAGAAGTATAGAGCCACCGGTGGAGAGATAGCCAGGCAAAAACGGAGCCGTAAAAGATCCGTAGCAGAGTACTGGAGAAGAGCTGTTGCCGGGTGATGAATGATGGATAAAAAAACCCAGGTGAGCACAAGCCACACCAACACCCTGTGGATCCGCATCTTAATCAGGGCCGAGCACTGAACACAAACGGAGGGACCGCTGACAGCTGCAGCGCAAGCAATAGAAGCCCGAAAATATTGCGAAAACAAGTCAAAACAGGGCCGCGTCTTAGATACTTGATTTAAATTGTCGTCAGCAACTTAAAAAATAAGATAATAATAACCGGTGAGCAGCGGCAGCCAAGCGCGCCAGCGTTCACTCGACCGGAAGTTAGTGCACAACTCACTTACAGAGTGAGACTGTGTGTGCGTGCATGTAGGAGTAGGAGGGTCACCAGTTATTTTGTGGAAAACAAAACTCCTGGAGTGGGTGTCATGTGAAATAAATAAACTTTGTAAAGTAAATAAACTTTCTTTAGTAATGATGGAACAAGTGAGTGATTTTGAGGTTGCATCTCACGGGGAAGGCAAAGAAACAAACCTAAAGCCAAGGAAGTAAGAATAAACACAAGCAGAATGACAATAATCCACGAATATTAACCAATAAACACCAAACCCTGGGTCCGTGATGCAATACCATGACAGATTTATAACAAGTCCCCGAACAAATACAGATAAAGCATAAGAAGCACATTACCAACAAGTGGAAAGTGCAATAATATGATCCATTATGTCTGAGTGAGAGGTCAAACAAGAAAAAAATATCTGAATGGCAATTTCGTGTTTTTGTTTACTGTGTACTGTGATGGATTAAAAGAGCAGTGTGTGACTGGTGCACAATGTGGCACAATGGCTGTGGCTTAAAGGTCAAAGTTATGTTACATCAAGTGCAGCACAGATTTATATAAATTTTACCTGATGATTCTGAGATTCCTTCTCTTCCACCTTCATACCTGCTGTATAGTGTCTAATAATAGGACAGCATTAACAGTGCACAGTCAGTGTCTTAAAAAACCCAAAACACACTGCACCAAAAATTGGTTCACGCCAAGGATCGGGTCCCCCGACACAAACAGAGTAACATAGTGTACGCTGTTAAGTGCCAGGAGGATTGCCAGGATTTATACATCAGGGAAACCAAACAACCTCTGGCTAAGCGGATGGCACAACACAGAAGAGTGTTGTGGACGTTTTCCATTAAATAAAGCTGGGGAAGGCTGGGGAAACCTGCAGTCAGCTGAGACTGAAGAAGTCACTTGGATGAGTGACGAAACATTTCTCTCTGAAAACGCTACGTCCAGATGAACAGAATCAACTTTTGGAGATGTGTCTAGAAACAAGCAAATTTGCTGAACAAAATGTACAAGTGAGTCATGGTTGAAGGAAAAAAAAAGTTTCTACAACTGCCTGTGAGGGGTGCAACAGGCCAACCACCAAAGAGTCAATTCTGCAAAAGTACATTAACACAAAAGACTTAAAACAAAATATCAATAAATAAATTATCAATCTCTGTGTTTTACAAACCTCATCAGCCAGTGTATTTCTGCTAATATCTGGGCTGGCTTGTTGCCTGCTGGTGCTTTTTTCTAGCCTGTACCCTCTTTCTTGCCTTTACAGAGTGATCACGGAGATTCTTCCACAGTCTGTAACACACTGATTTTTTCTTTCCCAGTGTCGCTGAAATCTCTCCGTGAATTCATTGACATTTGGGAGTCCTTGTGCTCTCACATTTATGTGTCATACAGATGCCTGTACAGACGGACCGTGGTTTTCCCTCGAATACATCCATAGTGGCAATTGTGCCAAGTTACAAAACTCAAGAGGTGCATGAACAGCCAAGGTAACACCAAAATGGCGGCACATGCCGTTGTGTTCTTAATGTTAACATTACCTTCATTTCTGAAGCAAGTACAGTTTTGACATGGAACTGCTTTTTTTTATTATTTATGCATCTGTATGCTCTGTGAATTTTCATTCGTCAGACATTAACTGACTACCAAGAACTGACCTAAGCAGCGACTCCGGGCCGAGCACATATTTCAAACAGCAGTCTGAGCTCATCCTTTAAGCAGTGATGAGGCCCTGTAACCCGAAACAAGACAGACTCTAACATTTCCACACTGTGTGTATGTGAGCGCTGTTTGTGAACACAACAAAGAGCATGTGTCATATGTATTTGTGGCTTTTTAGGACTGTAATGCCTTCATGTGATTGGCTCAAACAGTGAACAAGAATGAATGTGATTGGTTGAAAACAGCTGGCTCATTGTGGTATTTACCACATCCTCTTGGAACAGTTTGCTGATACAAAACACCAGAAGCTTATCTTGAGGTCTGTTATTGCTGTGAAAAGTTTAATGCACCTCAAAGTGTCAGCAAATAAATATTGTTTGCATTCAGCTGACTGGCTTTACTTGAAGCATTATGGTTTGGATGAACTGGACTGCACTGGGGATTCATGGTGAAGCCACCAAATCTGGACTAAAGAAAAAAGTTCACAAGGAACAACGACGCATATGAAATAACCTAAGTCAGCTGTGAGTCATCAGCACTGCTGCATGAATAAAGAAGTGTGTCAGTTAGGTAGAGGATGCCAGATCAGAAACAGAAAGAGAGACTCCAGATAGCTGCTGTGTCTGCATCTCTAAATGACTAAGATATGATTACACCACCCAGCTCAACCAGGTTATTATTCACAAGTTTGTCAAAACATCCAAATTAAGATTGCCCAGGGTTTTAAATGTGTGAGAATGTGGAATAACATCCAGGTGAAATTACATATTCTGTAGGAAATTTATTAGAAAAGGTGTTTACTCGCTATCTATAGTTTTACATAAATAACAAAATGAAATTGATAGTTTGCTTTTGAAAAGTGTTTGAGTATCAAGGGACAGTGTATAATACTTTGCATGTATACATGTATATATTTACAGTATGTTTTTTATATGGACAAAGTCATAATACTGGAAAATATAAAATATGATGTATGCATCTAAAATTAATTGCAATATCAGTTCAAAATAGAGGCGTCCCAGACCCAAGTCCACCATCAAGAATAACATACAGTGCAAAGCATTAAAATATAAATCATCAAAAATCTAAAAGTTATCAGGGAAGGTTGTTTCAAAGAACATTTGCACTCTTTTAAACACATATCCTGGAATTATTACTAATAATTAATGTGAAGACCCACACTGATGCTTTAGTGACATCATAGAAAACAGTTTGCAAACAGTTTGTTGAAGTTGAGCTTTTCACTGTTGACTATCATATCTAGAAGGCTTCTTACAACAAACTTAGGTTAGCCAGCTAATATTTTTACAGTACATAGACAATATTTGACTAGTTTAAATTCAGATCTGGTTTTAATGTTGGAGAAAATGTACAGTATCTCACAAAAGTGAGTACGCCCTGCACATTATTGAAAAAATGTTGTATCTTTTCATGGGACAACACTGAAGATATGACACCTTGATAGAATGTAATGTAGTCAGTGTACAGCTTGTATAACATTGTAAATTTGCTGTCAGCTCAAAATAGCTCAACATACAGCCATTAATGTCTAAACTGCTGGCAACAAAAGTGAGTACACCTGTAGGTGAAAATGTCCAAGCTGTGCCCAAGGTGTCAATATTTTGCGTGGCAACGATTATTTTTTGTTCTGAGTGAAATCTGTCCTGTTAAACTGCCGTATGGTCTTTTTCCAATGTGCTGCAGCTCAGTTTCAGGGTGTTGGCACCCTTCTTATAGCTTAGGCCATCTTTATGTAGAGCAATAATTCTATTTTGCAGATCCTTTGCCATGTTAGACTTCCAGTGAACAGTATGAGAGTGTGTGAGAGCAATAACACCAAATTCAACACAACTGTTCCCCATTTGCACCTGAGACCTTGTAACACTAATGAGTCACATGACACCAGGGAGGGAAAATGGCTAATTGGGCACAATTTGGACATTTTCACTTGGAGGTGTACTCACTTTTGTTGCCAGCAGTTTAGGCAATAATGGCTGTAAGTTATTTAGAGGGGACAGCAAATTTAAAGTTATACAAGCTGTACACTGTGTCATATCTTCAATGTTGTCCCATGAAAAGACATAACAAAATATTTGCAAAAATGTGAGGGGTTTACTTACTTTTGTGAGATACTGGATATTAAAAATAATGCATGCATCCACCCATGCTTGGCATCACCCATTGGTTATTGAAATCCCACCGTGAAGCCTCAAGATGAGCAATTTTGCCATCATTCTCTTGGTGTTTTCAAACTGGTGTTTTCATGAGCAAGGGGAAGATCTGACTGAGATTAGAACTTAGGGGACACAGCTCAATCAGTTGCAAGCAAGTTGCCTAAAGTGCATCATCATTTACAAAGTTAACATCATGTTGTGTTCAATATGACTGGAAGGTGACACGACAGTTTTTACCCTTTTTCCATGCACTTCCAAAGAAGTGCATGGAAAAGAAGTAGGTGAAGCTAGAGCGGCTCATCTACTAATCGGAAGGTTGCTTTGATCCTTGGCTCCCACAGTCTGCATGCTAAATATATATACTGACCTCAAGTTGCTTTCTGATGCATCCACTGGAGTGTGAATGTGTGTGAATGTTAGATAGAAAACTCTTAAGCATCAAAAGTGCTTGTATGAATGGATGAAAGAGGTAAGTTGCCTAAAGCGCTTTGAGTGCTCAGAGGATAAAAGAGCTTTATAAGAACAAGTCCATTTACCATTTCATACAAAAGGACGAGAGCTCATTACGAATGATAATGAGCTGGTTATGGTAAAGATACATTCTCATAGTTGTTTTCTTCATCACTAGTTTCCTCTTCATCACTAGTTTCCTCTTCTTCCTTATTATCCACACTTGCTGAAGGCGGGACACATTCTATAGTTGTTTTCTTCATCACTAGTTTCCTCTTCTTCCTTATTATCCACACTTGCTGAAGGCGGGGATACATTCTCATAGTTGTTTTCTTCATCACTAGTTTCCTCTTCATCACTAGTTTCCTCTTCTTCCTTATTGTCCACACTTGCTGAAGGCGGGGACACATTCTTATAGTTGTTTTCTTCATCACTAGTTTCCTCTTCTTCCTTATTACACACACTTGCTGAAGGCGGGGATACATTCTCATAGTTGTTTTCTTCATCACTAGTTTCCTCTTCATCACTAGTTTCCTCTTCTTCCTTATTATCCACACTTGCTGAAGGTGGGGATACATTCTCATAGTTGTTTTCTTCATCACTAGTTTCCTCTTCATCACTAGTTTCTTCCTCATCTTGTCTGTGACAGTCTACACTCACACAGGCCTCCTTGGACTTTTTGTCATTTGGGCCTGCTTCCTCATAATCGTGATCATCATCACTCACTAGGTCCTCATAATCATCATCATCTTCATCCAGCCCAGGAGCTCCTCCTTTGATTTTTTCATTAGTGTCCAATAGATCAACATTCACAGAGTCCTCAACATCCTCATCATCATCTTCATCTCCATACTTGTAAGCATTCCCGACTCGGACAGCCACTGAAACACAAGTAAGGGGAAAGAATGTGAATATATAGTCTGATGAATATCAGATGGATAATTGTTTAAAATTTGCGAGCACACACTTTGACTGTGGATGAGAGCTACAGGCTTCTTGGCTCGTTGTTGTCTTCTCCTGCACGTCAGCCCTACCACTAACAGCAACAGCAACAGCAGCAACAGGAGTCCAACAGATACTGAGGACAGCAGCGGCATCAAATTGACTAAGGAGAGAGAATTTGATCAGTTTGACCATCAAAACACTTCTTCACATAATGAACTACTTTTCATTAATGTTTTAATTTAGAACATGTAACTTATTTCAAGTCTGTTTTGAGAATATGGCTACAGGTCACTGAAAGGGCACTCCGCTCATCCTGTCAACACTTCTCATCTCAACTATGTCTAAAAGTTAGACACGACCACCCATTGGTTTGTTAAGTCCTGTTGTCAAGCCTTCTTAATCTCACCATTTTTGCCATTATGAAACCAAGTGTCAGTCAATGGGTGGATCTGAGAAAATGAGGGACAATGCTTGCTCATGAAACGTTTCACCTACAGGGTAGGTCTGCCCTACAGCATAGCCAGCTTTAACCTCCAGTTTGACAATACTGCAGAACATAATGTCAATATTACAGAGTAAGAGTAACATTCATCAAAATGATCATTGCTTTAATGTCTTATATTAAGTCTGACTTTCTTTTTATTTGATCTTCATGATTTGTGACTAACTTTCACATAGAATGCAGGATAATGGTGTAACACATAGTGGACAGTACCTCATCCAAAAGACCGGGTCTGTTCTGACTGAGTGACTGTAAGAGGTTTGGGTATACTTAACAGATTTTCTGAGAACATTACTGTAAAAACAATCTGTAATAAGAACTGGTTTGCTAAGATCTTTTTTTATTTTCCTGGTCCTCCAAAAAACCAAATGGGGGTCTTTTTGAGGATGGCTGGTAGCTGTCATGGAAAAACACAAACTTTGTCCAAAAACCTCTCGTTTAGCTGTTTTCCACTTTTTCTTTGGTCATTTTAGCCTTTTTGGCCAGGGTGAAGGGAGTATCTGCCATCAAACAGGAAGACAGCCGCATGTAACTACGACGGTGTTTACTAGTTCACCTTACATGCATTAATGTAATAACATGGTTAGCCTACTCAATGTAAATTACACACGAACAACATTAAGCTACTCACGCAGAGAAGAATGGCTGCTGCTGCCATCATCATCCTCATCATTTCTGCTACACTGGCAGGGCTACGGCTACACCCTCAGTAGATGTGCTCGGTGTGAGGTCTCGCAGCAAGCTATCAAATACGGCGCATTTCTCGGCTTTTAAAAAAAACACTATGCGTCGCCAGCTGTTTAATCGGATTCTTGGTGTTACCTCCTTTGACAGTATCACAGTATCAGCTTAAAGCACTTGTTGCTGCTGAGTTTGCATATTTTGCTGTGAAGTACAGCCAGACTTTGAGCTCAGGGTAGAGCAGGTCATCTACTTGATTTGGATAAAGGGGGGGTGGTGGTTCAATCCCTTGCTTCCCCAGTCTGCATGCCAAATATCCTTGGGCAAGTTATTAACCACCTGATGCATCCATCAGAGCAGCGGTCCCCAACCTTTTTTGCGCCACGGACCGGTTTATGCCCGACAATATTTTCATGGACCGGCCTTTAAGGTGTCGCGGATAAATACAACAAAATAAAACTAGTACCAGTACTGAAAAAAAGAACATTTATTCATAACACACGTGAAAAAACCCAGGAAAACTGAGTAAACTATAAAAACGATAACAAAATAAGGCTGAAAACCGATAAAAACCCTGAAAACCATACATTTCCCACCTGAGCCTCAACTCTCGCGGCCCGGTACCAAATGACTCACGGACCGGTACCGGTCCGAGGTCCGGGGGTTGGGGACCACTGCATCAGAGTATGAATGTTAGTTAGAAGGCACTGACAAGTATAGAAAACAGTGCTTGGTTAAATGTGGCGTGTTGTACAAAGACATTTGAGTAGAGACGAGTAGAAAACTGTTATATAAGAATCAGTCTATTTACCATTTTATTTTTATACTCTACCATTTTCCTCCTTTATGACTTCTCTTTGTGGTCTTAAATGTATACATTTATAACAAGACTGGGAAACATAAGCTAATGCAATGGTCACAGTTTGCATGGTACATACAGCTACAGCTACCACAGTCAGTCTGATATTTTTATGTTATTTTTTGCTTTATACAAAAATCCATGAATTCAACACTGTACTTACATTTAATGATGACACTAATCGGTGCCAATACAGCAGATCTGAATGTCCGTGTGGACACTGTGACCTCATACACACAGCTGTAGTTGCCCTGCCGTTCATACTCAGCTACAGGGAAACTAAAGGAGGCCGAGTTGCTGACTGCTGGCTCTGTGAGGTTGGAGCCAGAGAAGCTCAGAATAAAATGTCCACTGGAAAATGTGGAGTTAATGGAACAGGTGAGGACAAAGCTGTAACCCCTGGTGATTTCGGCACCTTCAGGACCCCAGACAAGTCCTGCATTAGGAGACGTCAAGGAGATGCTGGGCCTCTGCAGTCTCACTGTGTGAAAGAAAGACTTACCATTAAGAAGGGCAGCAGAAACAAGTCCAATGGTAGCATTTCATGCAAGTTAGCTTATTATTTATGAATCATCATTAACCAATCAACATTAGCCATGTATTTTGTGATCTACCGAATGTTAACAGCTGTTTAATGTTCTACAGCGGCGGTGTCAAACATAAGTCCCAGGGGCCAGAATCGGTCTGCCAAAGACTCCAATTCGTCCCACTGGATATGTGTAGGAGGGCATAGATTTTTGCTGCTGTTCCTACTGATAAAGATCCCTCTCGTGGTCATTCACATTACACTAAGGAATTACGTAATAAATAAACGTTGAAATGACAGAAAAGTTCCAGCATTTTTTTTTTATATAGTGAGCCAACAGTAATAAAACAAAAAAAAAACACAGTTTATTAACTGCAGCCGCGTTTCTGCGAGATTATGCAGAAAAAACTAGATGTACCTTTGAAATTGCGCTTTTTGTCTTATATGAAAAAGTTTATATCTATATTTTTATTACATAGATAAACATAAATTAACGCTGTTGATATCTTATGACAAGTAATTTCTACAGTTTATACAACACTATTTGTAATAGCAAAAATGTAAAGATCTGTAAATTTGTATTATTTTTATTTAGTTGATCAGTTTTGATCTTTTTATTTTACCCTTTTATTTATTGCTCTTACCTGTGACACTGAGTGTGACACTGTCACTTAGCGGGGAATTAAAGTCCCGCCTTGAGCCCTTTTTCTGATACTGACACTGGTACGATCCCTCATCATCAAAGTCCACAGAAGAAATACTGAAGGTAGCAGAGTGTGTAGCTGAATTTTGGGTCCTGTTGAATGAATCTGATGTTGTCATCAGAATGAACGTTCCACCCAAAACCTGAGTGGAGATTGAACAAGTGATTGCAATGTTCTGACTCCAGGTCACCTCACCAGCAGGACTGATGGAGATATGGGGTTTGGGGAAGCTTACTGAAATAGCAACACAGAATTAAAGTTTTCATTTTATCACCAGTTTACTGATTAGATTATACAAAATGGAATATACCATAAAACTTGGGAAATTGGATTTATCCTTACCAGTAACAAAGAGTCCTACAGAGTTACTAAAGGGGGAGGAGAACTTTGAACCCTGAATGCTTTCCTCGTACTGGCAGTAGTACTGTCCTTCATGACTGAAGTTCACTTTGTTGATACTGAAGATAGTAGAGTTGGAATTTGAGGTTTTAGTCTCCATGAATGAGTCAGACGTCTTCTTGAGGATGAAAGTTCCATCTGATGCCTGAGTTGGGACTAAACAAGAGATGCTGGCACTCTGACCCCAGGTGACCTCACTGTTATTTATGGAGATCCTTGGCTTGGGGGGGACCCCTGAAACAATAATTTGGCATGTGGTAAATGTACACCGTATTCTCCTTTTAACTTAAGCATCTCTGGTGTAGTGCCAGCATTGTGACAGTAAAATGGCACTAGCACTGGTTTTCCTGGTCAGTATTTCAACATTTAAGAGACATTTTTGGTTTGTTGGGGTGGTGTTCTACCAATCTATGGTAAATGGCCTGTATTTATATAGCGCTTTACTAGTCCCTAAGGACCCCAAAGCGCTTTACATATCCAGTCATCCACCCATTCACACACACATTCACACACTGGTGATGGCAAGCTACATTGTAACCACAGCCACCCTGGGGCGCACTGACAGAGGCGAGGCTGCCGCTGCCTTTTCATATAATCTATTTATCAAAAGGTCGGTGGTTCAATCCCGGACTGCTCCGGTATGTATGCCAAATATCCTTAGGGAAGATACTAGACCCAAGTTGCCCTCCAGTGCACCCATCAGAGTGTATCTGTGTGAATGTTAGATAGAAAGCATACAAAAAAAGTGCTTGTATGAATGAGAGTGGTGTAAAGCGCTTTGATAATTTTTGTATTATCCATCCATTTTCTAAATGATGGCACCCGTATTTGGTTTGCATTGCTTTGTTGCTCATTTGAATAAGTTGCTGGTCTGAGCTTTGATGGCGACTTTATGAATGAGGAAATGAAGTTTCAGGCAGCTGGTTGATGTGCAGCAGGACAACAGGATACTCTGTTGAAGAAAACCTGCCAATGAGCTGGTTAAGGTTACAATCTGTTTCTCAAATAAGTGACTCGGAGTGAACCAGACTCAAAAGTAACTTTAAAAAACACATAGGCAGCACACAGATGACGAAACAGAGGAAAATCCTGACATGCTCCTACAGAAGCCATGACACCATGAAAGTATGGCCCTGACTAGCATGCAATACTTGAAAATTCACACGTCCTGGATTTTTTTTTTTTTTTTTACAGGCAGTTGGCCTGTCAGTGTTAACCTTACATTTACCTAAACTGAATAAATAACAAATACAAACAGAGCCAAAAGTTCATTGTGAAGAACAGGAGAAAAAAAAAAGGCAACTCCCTCCGCTCTGAACCCAGAGATGTGCTTCTGAATTATTTCCCCATGTGTCACTGTCAAGTAGTAATACCACATTACTGCTGTTCAATGCGCCGCGCTGCTAAATTAATCCTTTTCCTGTCAGCATCACCTTGCAAAGCAACTAATGCTTTGATAATGAGATCAAAGGTATCTGCAGGCAAGCTCAAGATCAAAGATAACGAACAGAAAGTAGAGCAGCTGAAGAATAGTCACACAGTAGCAGGCAGGACGATTTCATCATTTGTTGAGGTGCTCGATGATACCACAGTGATGTTTCCCACAATATGTCGACCTGCTGAACATTTTAAATTTTTAATTCAATCATCAAAAAACTACCTTACAACTTCACACTGTATTTTCCTGTTGCCTACTTCATATTATTTATTGGATATAGAATTGTAAACTGTGTGTCATTTTTAACTTCACTGAGTATATGTTTTAGTTGTACGCTTGATTAATCATGCTGATCTGTCCGTTGTGTGTGAAAATATGGCAGCCATGGTGTTGATGTTGATTTTGGTCATACAGGCTGTAACATTACAGCTGAGAAAGGACAGTCTTGTGAAAAAGAACATTTTCAAAGAACTCTACGAACAATTAGAATAATTAGAAAGTAACTGAAAAAGTCTCGTTCAGGGTTTCAAATTTTGTTTTTATATTTGATCTTTACTGTCAAAACCTTAAACCGCACCAAGTCTGCAGCTGTGAGAGCAAAATCTAAAACTGTTGGGAACAGGTTATGTTTGAGATTAAAATCAGTTGGAAGTTCAAAGTTCATTTTCACTGATTCTTTTATTTACAGCAGCTGAAGAGACTTGTGTCTCAGAGAAGAAGAAAATCTTATTTTAAAAAAAGATATGCATTTACATTTTTGTTGGGAAATATAATTTACTAGTAAATGTTTTCTCCAATGAACAAAGTGTAGTAAAAACAATATAATATACTAATTACATTATTTATTAACGAAAAATAATAATCACTTCACCACTTTTAACAACTTTTATTATGAACTGATATCACGATAGGATTTAACTGAAAGTTTGCTCACCTGAACATGTGACACCAGCATCCTCATTATGCCCACAGTTATGTGTCCCAAATCCTCTGTTTCGACACTCAGTAAGAGAACTTTCACTTCCTGAACAGGCCACATCATCAAGCCAAATTTGTCCTGTACCTTCACCAAAGTGAGCTGATTTATGGAAACTCACTGCTGTCCAGCAGTGCAGCTGTCTGCAGACCACTTCAGCATCTTTTAAGTCCCAGTCATCATCACAGACTGTTCCCCAGGAGCCACTGTGATAGATTTCAACTCTTCCAGAGCACCGAGTGGACCCAGACCCAGCTAGTCTGATCTGACCTATCAAGAACGTTATATAAACAACATTTTAATATTTCCCTTAAAGGTTTTCCTTTAAAAAAAGACATAGGAACAGACTGACCTGCAGCAGGTGACGGTGAGGCCAAGAGACAAGAAACTATCGGAGAGGAAACCATGCCATTGCTTATTACATAGAAATGTTCTTGTTGATATGCAGTGATGAATATTTGCATTGAAAATCAAACCCAAAATCCTATTGATACTGTGCCTGTACAAAATTACAAAAAACATTATACATTATAGAAAATCCGTCTTACCGAGGGTAAAAAAATGCTGTCTGCCCCACATGGCGTGTCATTTATGAGATCCAGAGAACACTACAGAGAACTAAAATTGTTCACAGTGCTTGTCCTCCCGAAACACTTCCCCTTTCGTTTTGTCGCGGGGTTTTTTTTCCCATCAACCGACACGGGGCATTAAAACTATGCAGAATTAAAGTCTGAAGTTAACACACTTTGTCCAGCAAAAAAACAATCGCATCTATACTTCTGACTGAATGTTATCATTCTGCTTTCTGCTGCCAGCCGTGAGTACAGATATGATCAATGAAATCAATTTAGTTTCACTGTAAGTTTATCGCCATTCGTTGCCAAAAGTGTCAATCAAAGCGCGTATCTCCCGTCTCAGGCCCTTCTATCGTGAGATAGTTAGTCTCAAAAGATTGGAAAATGGTTACGATATTACCCACAAGTGTAAACTAAGATTTACATATATGCGCGCACACAATGATTTGTGTGTAATTCCGCGTACTCAGAAATGCGTGCAACAGTCCACACATGCAATTCCACAAATCAAATAGTTCAATCAGTCATCAGTCTCACTTTCAAAGACCTTCACGAGCTTACTCGTCTCTAAAAATTATTTCAGACATTGTTTACGCTCACATCACGGTTTATGTGCTCGCGGAGTTTTGAGAGATTTACACACTTTTCATCTTTCCATGGGGCTACAAACACAAGAGGCGCTCCGTCCCTAAATGAAAACTGGACGTTTGAAATTCCTTTGAATCTTTAAATTACGTCCAACAAAACGATTTTTTACCAGAAATTTCCCAAAAAAAAAAAAATATATAATTATATTAATATTAGCTATAAAAATAATAATAAATTGATCAGCACAGTGATATATATAAGTATCTGAAGAAGTCTAAAATGTCCTGTGTGCATGCATGTGTGTTTTATTTAGATGGATTTTAAAAAAATATTACTCATATATAACATGTCCAGACATGGTAAGACATGAAGAAAACAGAGTGTGATACAAAGCATAAATTTTCTCATATTTATTTAATAATCAGAGTTAGTTGATAATAGATTATAGTTTATTGCAATAGCAAGTTGTTTTCTCACATAACAGCAAGTGATATATGAAAAGATGGATGAAGAAGAAAGCAAAGAGTGATTCACAGAGCTAAATATTTTCACAGTGTGTCCTTTTCCACGCTTCACCATCTCATTTATTATTCATGTTTAGCAACCCCTTAATCTCAGTCTCACACAGCCTAGAAAGGAATAGGGATTGTCAACTTGACAGTACTTCTGCCGCCACAATACACATCCTTTTGAGGTCCAAGAGTTGAAGATAAGCTTTGTGAAATCACTGAAATAAGTCAGACTTGTGCATGCATGTCAGTGTAAGCTGGCTTGCAATTAGACCAGATAAGGCTTTGAAGCAGCAGGTGTGTTATGTGGAAGCAAGTGGGATAGACAGCCTTGATCAAATTCAAATGTTATTTGTCACACGCACACACACACACACACACACACACAAAATACAATATGTGGAGAAATGCTTATTGCTGTGCAATGCCCATTAAACGACAGTAAAGAATTTACAGATAATGATAAAATTTACAGATTTTACCTTAGAAATTTACAGTAAAAAAGAATGTGCAAATAATGATTTAAGAGAGAGATTATAAGAAGTGTGCAAATAAACAGAGTGTGTGCGGTGATGTGATGTATGAGAGTCCAGTCCTACACCTGGTTCAAGTCCCAAATAGCCTGGGGGACAAAACTCCTCTTTCACTCTGTTTTGACCTTAAGGGAGCGGAAGCGCTTCCCAGACCTCAACAGTGAGAAGAGTCCATTGTTGGGATGGGAGAGGCCCATCATGATCTTCCTGGCTTTGTTCTTGCACCACTTGGTGTAGATGGACAGCAGGTCAGAAAGCGCTGATAGATTGATGCGTTTGGCCGAGCGCACCACTCTTTGCAGATCTCGTCTGTCCTGCTTGGTGCTGTTCCCAAACCAGGTGCAGATGTTTCAGGATGCTCTCGATGGCGCAGGAGTAGAACTTCTTAAGCACCTAAGTCTTCTGGGGAAGAAGAGACACTGGCAGGCTTTCTTAACCAGGGTCTTAACCAGGGTGTTAATGTGACAGGTCCATGATAGGTCCTGAGTGATGTGGAGACCCCTGGTACCGGAAACTATCCACTCTCTCCACTAGGTGTACAAAGCAGATATGGCTAGTTTAGCAGATGAAAGGAGCACAAGCAGGAGACTTGGCTCTCAAAAATAACAATGTGGAATTGATTAAAAACAAACAAACAAAAAAACATGGATGTCCATTTGTGATCACAACATGGGTTTCATTTAGTTTGGTTTAGTTTTAAATATAGCCGGGGATCGGCTCACCAGGGCCTCCGTTCTTGGCCGCCACCTGACACACATTGCACCCGACCCCTACGGCGCCTCCTGCAGGTGGTGGGCCTATAGGAGGATGGGCCCATGTCCCTTTGTCGGACTGGGCTCCATGGCCACCAGACGCATGCTAACATCAGCTGCTTTCTGGTAGAGAGTACCATGTCCCCCCATGTTTTTAATGCACTTGGAATGCTGGGCCTCCCTGCTGCAGGACCGGGGTTGGTCTGCTTGTCTCCACTCCACAGCAAACATTTCCTGGGTCTGGATTGACCCTCTGGGAGTGTCTATGTGTCAGGTCGAGTCTTAGACTCCACCTCTCAGGGAACATCTCAGGCTCCCCTAGGTGTGGGGGCCTATCTCCCCCCACTACACTCCCTGCCAATGGCTGATACCCTCAACCCTTGGTGCATTGGTGGTTTTCGGTGTCCGGGGCTGGGTGCATGGTGCTCACTCCCGGTGGTTGCTTGGCAGGGCCTGGCGCCCATGGCTCGGTCAGGGCCCTTCCGGAGGGCTATGGCTCCCCACATTTACTTTCAGATAATTATATGGAGAAATCTTTGGAATACAAGCGCGCTAACGCACACAGGTGTGCACAGACACACACCATCTTCCTTGGATGCTGCCTCAAAGCATATCGTGCGTTGTCGATTTTGTGTGCTTAATTTAAAATTAATTTTAAAATTGTAAAAGTAATTTTAAACATTTTACTCAGTAATGTGTACTGAGGACCTTCACCTTTTTTAGCTGAATATGGAAACCACTATACCAGAGGTGTCAAACATACGGCTCACCTGTATATTTTATATAACATAAAATAAACTATATACAAAGATGCAGAAACGTGTGCACTGAAAAACAGACAAGATGTTAGATTTACATAAATTAAGTAGTCGACATTGGTTGCACACAGATGTTCTGCTTTTTGAAGCAACTCAACACAAGTTACACAAACAAAGTGCAATTGCAGTAAATTCATCAAAGACGCTTAAATAAATCCAAGAGATGGCCAGTCTCCATTTTTCACTGTACATGTAGCACAGAGCCGTGGCTCAGTGTCTGAGTGTCTGAATGAGTCTCACAGGTCTGAATGTGTGCTTAAAGCCATTTATAATTCCTAACTTGTTTGATCTGCTGCTCACCACAAACAAGCACAAGCATACATTTTGAACATTTTACTGTATATTTATAGGTTTTACAGTTTTTACTACTGATAAAAAGTTCCCTTATGGCCACTCATACTCCACAAAGTAATTAAGGAATAAACAATTACAAAACAAAAAACAACAATTTTCACCTTTGAAAAAAATGTAATGAATTCCCTCTTACTTTGGCAGTTTGGCACTTCCTCTACAGCTCTAACTCTCAGTGTGTTTTGATACCAGTTTCCCATCAATAATCTCTATTTTTGGCATTATTCGTTTGCTTATTACAAACCAGTCTACTGTTGTGTACAGTGTTGTTTTTTCTTAGTTTTTGTTCCCAAAAACGTGTCTCTAATAAAACCTCTGTAACTTTGTGAAAATAGGAAAAGTTTTTGTTTTTCACTTTCTGCTATAGAAATTTCTAGAGTTTTCTAAGGGATCCTCGAGGTCATCTTACACACCTTACACAATTAAATAAAGTAAACAAAAAACCCCAACTATAACGTTTTTCAAGCTAACAATAGTCTAAAACCAAGTTAGAATAAAGTTGACAGTTAATTATATCAAAAGAAGAGGACAATTATTGATGAAGATTTGCAATTTTGGTATTTAAAAAACCCCATAAATTCATTACAGACTGCAGCAGAGAGTGAACGTATATGGTAACGATATCTAGTACAAGTGTTTCCTTCAGCTCACAGAATAATAGTAGTGTAGCAAGCACATTTAGCATGAGAAATAGCTTCTTTCCTATTGTATTGTTTATGACTGAGATACATGTCCTTATGAATAGTAAGTCCAGTTTTTCTGAAGAGACATTCCAGGCGATGGCCAATAGCTTTAAGCTGGCAAAATTCAAATGAATATCAAGGGACAGAATGGGGGAAGGAAAAGTTTGAGTTTTCTGAGGAGCCAAGGTATCTAAGAGTTTGACAAATCCATTGTTATAGTGAGATACCAAGTCATTTGTGGAAGCTGAAGCATCTATGGCCATTAAATTATCAATGCAAGGGGAAAGAACTGATAAATCAATGCCTGTAATGTTTCTAAAATTAAGAAAGCATGTTAGATTACCTTTGTACAGTTGGAAACCAACACCGAATGAAACTAAATTATGATCTGAAAAAGATATGTCTGATACAGCATAGTTCATCGCTCGGACTCCAGTACAACAGATAAGGTCTAAAGTATGTCCTTTGGAGTGTGTGGGAACATGTATTTATTAGTCTAAGCCAAAATTCTCCAGATAGGAAATATAAAAAATTTTTTAATTAATTTGATGCTCTGTCCATGTGGCTATTAAAATCTCCCAGCAATGTTATATTTGGAAAGTAAAAAGTAAAATTACGACACGAGCTTTTGGTAAGTAGTTGTTGGTTTTGTGAAGCAACCGATGACGGGGTAACTCTCATGACTAACTCAGATTCCCTGTGGTTACGGAGGAAGAAAGGAGCTTTCCAGAATGCATATGAAAATTTTTCTCAAGGGATACTAATGTCCTTGCATTATATGCAATGACCTTCTGTTACGACTGTGGCCATAAGAAGTCTGTATGAGCTGCTTTGTTTCTGTGTCTGTGCTGTGCTTAAGACCCTCTGCAGGTCCTTCCCCTAATGAAGAGTAGTGAGCTGCTGATTGGACCGTGGAACAGGTGACTGCGTTCAAAAAGCCGCTCTGACAGCTCCCGGGAGAGAGAGAAACGAGCGAGCAGTTTTAAAAGCAGACGCAGCCCTGGTTCCAACTTTGATTCTTGATCGTGTAAGCGTGCTCTGTCAGAGCCGCCACTGGTGTAAACTCAGTGCTTATGTATGCATAGGCTGAAGCGGAAGGGGTGAGCCGCCTTTTTCTTTCGAACAGTTTTCTCCTGTTTTGTGGGCTAGGAAGTGAGGGATAGTATTGTCATTTGTTTGTTTTGTTTCTATCTTAGGGTTTAGTTAGTTTCCTCTGGTGTGACTTAGGTGGTTTTGTTTATTATTTTAGCCTGGGTTGCTTCCTGACATTAAATAAAATCACCTTTTTTTACTCATAACTGGTTTCGAATGTTTGGCTTGGGAACCAGGGCAGGTACTTGCCTCTCTCTCCTCCAACCTTATGTGCGTCTCTATACGCCTAGACTAGGGGCGTAACACCTTCATCTTGGCTGCTTGTTTCTGATAAAACAGCTTCCAGGCACTGCTGTGAGGTGGGGTACAAAGGGCTCTGAAAAATCATGGTAATCTAGAATGGGTGCCTGTGTTAGATAGTTTGTCAACTGGTTTAGGGCATCTTGATGACTCTCAGTCCATCCAAGTTCTTCTTAAGACCAGACCCATTCTGGCTGGTCAAACTAGTGAATGGCAATTTCTGTCCTTCTGTTCTGTCTCCTCAATGTGACAAAAGGTCCGTAAGTCTTTTCTCAGAGTCATTCTGGTGCTTCAAACACTGCAGACTGACTTGCTTCTTTCTCACTCATTCTAGCAGCACTTTAAACTGGATGTGTGAATGTGTGATGTGTGCATTCATTAACTATTTTCAACCGTGTTGCTGTATCATCAGCTGTATCATCAAGTCACATCAAGGTCATGATTTTACAGTGAAGTTCAAAATTATTATTTAATACGCTTCCACCTGCAGAAAATGTTCCACCCTAGGACTGACATATAGTGCTTTTCTACTTTCCCTGAGTAATTCAAAGCACTTTATACAACATGCCTAACTCAGCTATTCACCCCAGTGCTTTTTTCTATGCTTGAGGGCTTTCTATTTAATATTCCCACACATTCATACTCCAGTAGATGTATGAGGGAGCCACTTGTGGTTAGCATCTTGCCCAAAGATATTTGGCATGCAGACTGAAGCAGCCAGGTATCAAACCACCAACCTTCAGATAAGTACAGTCATGCCAGGTGTCATAGGGCAAATAGTGGGGTAAACCCCAGACAGATCATCAGTCTGTTATAGAGATCCAGACAACCAGACACACTCATACCTTCTGCCAATTCAGAATCACCCATTTACCAAAGCCCATGTATGTTTTTGAACTGTACGGGGAAGCTGGAATACCTGAAGAGAATCAATGCAAACACAACAAGAACATGACAACACCACCAAGATTCAAACCCAGAACCTTCTTTATGTGAGACAGCTATAATGACCATGTGCTGTTATTAGTTTAAACAAAAAATGTTCAATCATGTTAGTTATTGTTCTCTGTAATCACAGGTTAACCGTTACCTCACACTGGCAGTCTTTATGCTAACCGTGAACATGGTATCTTATTTTTTCCTTCATCAGAAATTAACTAACAATCGAGAACAGACCTCAGCAGCTGCTCATAACTGAGCACTCATTAGAAATAGAGAACTTGTATTTGAGGGTGGCTGTGGTCCCTAACCTCTGCGAATACCAGAGGTCAACTGTAAGGACATAAATGAGGGTGAAATCATCTTGTCATCTACATTGTTGATACAAGGTGCTAAATATGTGTTTTGATAAGATCAACAAAGATAAAGTTTGTGTGACTGCTTTACATTAAGTAAAAAAAAAAACTTACATGAGTTTGAATATAAAAATATGCATTATCTGTTCATACAAATATACTGTATTTACCTCTCCAGGATCAAATTTGACACCTTGTCACCAGGACTATACTAAATATGTACACAGACACCTGAAGTACATATTCGTGTTACTTGTGCAAATACATCATGTTGGAAATCAAAAAATATAACATAAAATTATAGGATGAGTACAGCAAGCAACAGCTGGATTAAGATATAGAGCTTTTTGGTCTATTATCTTTGTTTGTAAATCAAGGGTTTCTGCAAATTTCAGGCCAATAAGCTTAACTGAGGTTATACAAAGAATAGAAAAAAAAAAGGCTAAAACAGGTTTTTGATGTTGAGATCTTCACAGTCATGGCTAAAAAGCTAGAACAAGTGAATTTAATATTAAGGGCAGCTAATAAATTCTTACACTACATAGAAAATATTCAAATTGTTGAAATTCTAAAATTTTAACATTAGAAGACAGTTTTAAGGGATCATCTTAGAATGTTTATAAAGTATGCATAAACCCACCCATGGCTGACATCACCTACTGCGAAGCCTCAAGCTGAGCAATTTTGCCATTTTGGTCTGGGTGTTTTAAAACTGGGCATCATGAACACGTTGCAGATCTGACTGAGAAACTGAGCCCAATCAGAAGCAAGCAACTTGTGAATCTCATGATAAAGATTACCCTGCTTTACCCTTCTTTTGACTCTAATGTACATGATGATTTACAAAGTCATGTGTGTTCAGTATTTTAAACTTGAAACTACCAATTGAGGCCATCAACACATCAGAACGGTTTTAAGGTCATGAGCTCATATAGCAAGGAAGCCAGAGACCTCCATACAAGATCGCACCTTTGCAACAAAAGCAGTCTCCTCCTGTTGGCCATAAAAAAAAAATTCATGTCTAAGTGGCTTCCACAATGGCATCACCTTTCAGACCCAGAAGGCAAGTCTACCTTTTATATCTATATAAAAGGCATCTATATATTTTTATATTATGTAGTATGTTACAATTACGGGAAACCAAGATAACTAATTAAACATATTGGCTAAAAGATTTTTTGGTTGCAGTTGTATTTTAGGTCAAGTTATTATCAATGATGATGAACTGCTGATAGTCAAGATACATTCTCATAGTTGTCCTCTTCATCATCACTACTTTCTTCTTCTTCATCATTATGTACACCAAGCGAGGGTGGGGATACATTCTCATAATTGTCCTCTTCATCACTAGTTTCTTCTTCATCATCATTATCTACACCAGGTGGTGGTGGTGGTGATACATACAGCGAGGGTGGGGATACATTCTCATAGTTGTCTTCTTCATCACTAGTTACATCATCTTCATCTTCTCTGTGATCACTTACACTCACATAGGCCTTCATGCAATTGGGGCCTGCTTTCTTGTAATCATGATCATCATTACACACTGGCTCCTCATAGTCATTGCTTCCCTCTTCATCCACTCCTGCAGCTCCCCCTTTCATTTTTACATTAGTGTCCATTAGATCAACATTCACATAGTCCTGCGCATCGTCTTCATCACCCTCACTGTCTCCCCACTGGTAAGCATTCCCGACTTGGTCAACAACTGAAACACAAGTAAGGGAAAACAATGTCAATATGTAGTCAAACTATCTGATGAATAATTGCCTAAAATTTGTGAGCACACACTTTGACTGTGGATGAAAGCTAGAGGCTCCTTGGCTCGTCGTTGTCTTCTCCTGATGAGAACCACTAACAGCAGCAGCAGGAGCAGCAGCAGGATTCCAACAGCTACCGAGGACAACAGCAGCATCAAAGACACTAGAAGGACAGCATTCGATCAGTTTGATCAAAAACTTCCCCGGTACAATGAATTACGTCTTAGTTAAGTTGCTAATCTAGAGCAGTGTTTCCCAACCACTGTGCCATGGCACAGAGTTGTGCCATGAGAGATCATCAGGTGTGCCATGGGAAATTATTTAATTTCAATTAATTGGTCCAAAAAATACAATTTAATAATTACTGCAAATAATAAAATCATTGTTGGGCATCTGTCCTTTCAACGCAGTGACTGGTAGAGTAATTACTCTTTCATGTCAGTGGGTGGCAGTGAATGAATGAATGAATGAAGCCTTTATTTGTCACTTGCAGTTGCCTGCAGTGAAATTGGAGCCCTTCCGACCATACATACATTACACAAACATTCCAGAGGATGGTATGGTGGAGTCAAAAAGGAGGTACTGCCTCTGGACACAGTGGAGACTGTCAGAAAACAACTACAAGAAGACAGCTTCTTGGAAGACAGAAACAGCTTTACCCCAAACCAGATTTGCACACTATTAGACCTCTGCCTTACCACCACATATTGTAAATACAACAACGGTTTTTACAGACAAAAACATGGATGTGCCATGGGCTCCCCGGTGTCACCTATTGTAGCCAACCTTTATATGGTGGAAAGAAAGGCTCTTGGCTGTTTTAACGGGAGGGTATCTAGCTGCTGGTACAGATATGTGGACGACACCTGGGTCAAAATCGAGACCCAAGAAGTAGAATCCTTCACTGCGCACATCAACGCTGTGGCTAAAAACATAAATTTCACCAGGGAAGACACAAAGGATAACTGTTTGCCATTCCTGGACTGTGCTGTGCACATTAAAGAGAACGGCAACCTCAATGTTGAAGTTTACCAGAAGCCCACACACACACGGACCAGTACCTCCTCTTTGACTCCCATCACCCTCTGGAACACAGACTTGAAATAATTAGGACCCTACACCACCGGGCAAAAAATGTTCCCTCTAAGCCTGAAGGAAAAAAGAGGGAACACGCACATGTAAATGAGGCTCTTAAAACATGTGGTTATCCTAACTGGGCTTTCATAAAGTCAGCAACGAGGCACAGAAAAGAAGATCAGACACCAACTCTTGAGGATCAGAAAGACAAATGCAAAAACATTGTCATCCCCTATGTTGCCAGTTTATCAGAAAAACACAGGAGTTTTCTCCAAGCATGACATCCCAGTGTACTTCAGACCCAGCCACACGCTCAGACAAAAACTGGTTCATCCCAAAGACAGAACTCCTAAACACAAACTTAGCAACATAGTATATGCTGTAAAGGGTAGTGACGAATGCCCAGACCTCTACACTGGAGAGACCAAATAGCCACTTAATAAACGCATGGCACAACATAGAAGAGCCACCTTGACGGGACAAGACTCAGCAGTCCATCTGCATCTAAAGGACAAAGGTCACTCTTTTAGGACACCAATGTTCACATTTTGGACACAGAAGACAGATAGTATGAAAGAGGAGTGAAAGAAGCCATCTATGTGTATTGTGAATGACCATCTTTGAAGTAAGTAAGTAAGTAAAATTTTATTTATATAGCACATTTCTAGATAAAAGATCACAAAGTGCTTTACAAGGTATAGGAACAGATTAAAAAGACAAAGTACAGTCAAAAGTTAACAAAATGCAATTTTAAAAAGGATGTGTTTTTAGCTGAACACAGGCGGTGGTTTACGACACCAACTTTCTGCCATCTGAGATCCCTTCCAAGACGCCTTAACGCCCACTCACATCCTGGGCCATCTGACCTCAGGAAATCACATGATAGGTTGGGGCCAGGTTTCAGAGCAGGTTCATCCAAAACCTTGACTGATTGTGACCTACACCCGTTTTCACACCTTGACTTGTGTGATTAGGTAGAGGATCAACAGGGGGTTCATGACCCCGTTGGGGGACACTCACTGAGGAATTAAATCTGGGAGTCTCCACCATTTGACCGTAGAACTGAAGAAGCTTCTCGAATGAGAGGTGAAACGTCTTCAAGCAACTTAAAGAAGTCCAGATACTTTTCTTTCCAATCTTAATGAGTCTACGGACATTAGCTGACATTCCCAACTATTGGCCAATGTGCGTCTTGTGGAAGGAGACTCCATCAGAGAAAACTTTCTATTTTGCAAGGCACTGCCAGAAAAAAAACGGGACAGGAAATTTTTTGGGTTACATCCGAATAGCTTGAACAAAGAGGGTGGGAAACCTGCACGAGTATCTGCACTGATGGAGCAGCAGCCATGGTCGGACGCACCAAAGGTTTCGTTAGCAGAGTGAAAGCGATAAACCCAGATGTTGTTATTATTACGCACTGTTTTCTGCACCGCAAGGAGCTCGTTGCCAAGACTTTACCAGCAGACCAAGCTCTTGTATTGGATGATGTCGTGCGCATGGCAACCTTCATCAAGACAAGACCTCTGAAAAGCCACATACTTGCATCTCTGTGCGAGGAAATGGGAGTGGAGCATAAAGCTTTATTGCTCCACACGGAGGTCCGATGGTTGGCACGCAGCAAAGTACTGGTCTGTGTGTTTGAGCTGCAGGAAGAGCTAAACATGTTTTTGAGTGATGAGAGGTACAATGATGCAAAGCTGCTTACAAGTGATTAGGGGTGTGCAAGGCTGGCTTACATGGCAGATATACTTCCGCATTTTAATAAACTTAACACACAAATGCAAAGCCGAGATGAAAACCTGCTCACAAGCACAGATATAATAAATGTATTTTGTTCAAAGGTCCACCTCTGGCAACAACATCTTTAATTAACCGATTCGCACTACAATCTGGTTTGCCTCTTACCTGTAATTATTTTTATTTAATTTAATAACTGTACAGTACTCTGTTTATAGTAACCATTGTCCTTAATGTAAATATGTAAGAAAAATTGTGTATGTTTCTGTTCCGTGTCCTGTGTACTGTTTGTTTGTATATGTGTCTTTTTGGCTGCTGTTACAACCAAATTTCCCCTTGTGGGACAATTAAAGGATTATTCTATTCTATCTAAAAAATGCCAACCTTGGCATGTTCCCACTCGCTCAGAAATGGCAAGGAGATACTGAAACTGCCACACTGTGTGAAATAGTAGGTAAACATTTGAAAACGCTCGAGAAGAAGTTGTTAATTTATTTCCCCTCTGTTTCCACTGAATGCCTTGACTGGGTAAGAGACCCATATAGCTCAGCAGCAGTTTTTTAGAAAGGATAAGACTTTGCAGGAACAGGAGGAACTAACTGAATTGACACAAGACTGTGGTGTGAAGCTAAGCTTTGCTGATCTATCTTTGGATAGTTTTTGGTTGACTGCTACAAAGGAGTTCCTCATTCTGGCAAACAGAGCCATTTTGACATTGCTCCCATTTTCCACAACATATCTATGTGAGCTAAGCTTTTCGCTTAGGAAGAGTGGTTGAGAAGAGTTTTATATATGGGGGGAAAATGCTTAGATGGTTTTGTTACAAAACCCGTAAAAAAAAAAAAAAACAGAAAAAGAAAGCTGAACATACGCAAATCTTATAAATGTATACGACTTTTGTTGAAAAAATTGAGGTAATCTACTAATCAGAAGGTTGATGGTTCGATCACTGGCTGCTTCAGTCTGGGTGAGGCAAGTTGTATAAAGGGCTTTGAGTGCTCAGAGCAGAAAAGCAGAAAAGTGGTATATAAGAAACAGTCCATTTATCATTATTATAAACTACCGGTCAAAAGTTTTAGAACACCCAAATGTTTCTAGTTATTTATTGCAATTCATGTCATTCAAGTCCAATGAATAGCTTGAAATGGTACAAAGGTAAATGGTGAACTGATAACTCAGACAAGAAGAGGTCTGACAGACCCAAAGCCACCACTGAATCAGAGAACAAGTTTCTGAGAGTTAACAGCTTATATGATAGGCGGCTCACAGGACAACAGCTTCAAGCACAGCTTAATAGTGGTATAGAAAGCAAGTCTCAGTTTAAGCGGTAAAGAGAATACTTTAAGCTGAAGGTTTGACAGGACGAGTTGCAGCAAGAAAGCCATTGCTAAGACGTCAGATTAAGACAAAGAGGCTTGCCTGGGACATGAAACACCGTCTGACAAAAGTCTACTTTGATGAGTCAAAACTTTAGAATACATTTTGGTACACTTCAGTTGCTTATGTGCACTATGTTTTCATTTCAGAGTGCAATGAGACATAAACTTTTTTTTTTTTTTACCAGAAGTGTATATCTATTAAATGAACATAACTGCTGTTTGGCAGCAGTTTTTTCTTCTTCTTTTTTTGGCAACATCAAGGTTTAAGTTCCTGTTTCTGTTAAGTTCTATTTTTATTTCAGCCTTTGCCCCTATTTCTACTGCTTCTTCTCTTTCTAGTCTTAATTGCAAACATACAAAGGGAAAACACAGAGACATTAATACTGAGAAAAATTAGGTAGTTATGATATGGTTTTGTTAATAAAACATAAATTCAACACTGTACTTACATTTAATGATGACACTGATCGGTGCTGTTGCAGCAGATCTGAATGTCCGTGTGGACACTGTGACTTCATACACACAGCTGTAGTTGCCCTGATGTTCATACTCAGCTACAGGGAAACTAAATGAGGCTGAGTTGTTGACTGCTGGCTCTGTGAGGTTGGAGCCAGAGAAGCTCAGAATAAAATGTCCACTGGAAAATGTGGAGTTAATGGAACAGGTGAGGATGAAGCTGTAACCCCTGGTGATTTGTGCACCTTCAGGACCCCAGACAAGTCCTGCATTAGGAGATGTCAAGGAGATGCTGGGCCTCTGTAGTCTCACTGTGTGAAAGCAAACTGGGATTAAAACATATTATTCTCTCTACCTTTTAATTCTGGACTTGTTTAAACTCTAGAATCAAAAGCAGAAGGAAGGATTTTTGTGGGGCACTTAAGGGAAGCTGAATCAAACTCAACACATTTCATCACTTACTAACTTATTAGTATTTGGTGTTATTTTATTTTTCACACATTCAGCAGTTATTGAGCAACATTAGAAGTTTCTTGCTACATGGTAAATGAAAGTCCATGCTTATCTGCCGAGAAAAATGGCAGATTAGCTTGGGTAAAAGACCGAAAGCTGAGGCACACAATGAAGAATGCTGTTGGTAAAGTTTCTGGGCTGCCATCCCTTAAGATTTTCTCAATTTAGAGCAATGCATTATCAGGGATTGTAACATCTAGTCTTTTTACTGAATCTTTTAGCCCTCAACGTAGCATTTAGCTCTTTAGCTGCTCAATCCTCCATGGTATGTAATAGTTTGTTTCAAGTAGTGTGTGTTTACTCCTCAGTACTGTTGGCTTTGAGATCATTTTCTCTGGATACTGAAAAATCCACAATGAAAGTGGGATTCTGTTCATAATGCTTTTTTTTTTTTTGCTTTTGTTTGTGCTTTTTTTTGTAAATAGCTATTAAAACAAGTTTAAGCTATGACTGAAACAACTTATCTGTATTAAAAATGATAATTTCTCATTATGTTTGAAAAAATGTTTCTTACATGTATTTGCTTTATTACCTGTCACAGAGAGCCTACCAGAGTCACTTGGTGGGGAGTTAAATTCAAGACCTGAGCCCATTTTCTGATACTGACACTGGTACGATCCCTCGTTATCAAAGTTCACTTTAAGGATATTGAATGTTGCAGAGTTTGTACTAGAAGTTTGGGTCCTTATAAATGAATCTGATGTTTTCTTCAGAATGAACGATCCACCCAAAACCTGAGTGGAGATTGAACAAGTGATTGCAATGTTCCGACCCCAGGTGACCTCACCAACAGGATTTATGGTGATATGGGGTTTTGGGAAACTCACTGAAAAAACAAACAAAACAAATGAACAAACAAAAAAACAGCATAATACTGATTGATATGTTGCTGGCTTAATGACACTTTTAGCTTTTGATTCTTGGAGCTGTCGAGCTCAGGAAATTGTTTTGTTTTCTTACCATTAACAGAGAGTCTGACAGCATCACTGAGGGGGGATGAAAAGTTTGGCTCTGAAATGGTTTTCTTATACTGACACTGGTACGAGCCGTTATGATCTAAGTCCACTTTGTGGATACTGAAGGTAGCAGATGTGGAACTTGAGGATGCAGTCTGGCTGAAAGTGCCTGAGGTCTTCTTGAGGATGAAAGTTCCACCAGAGAACTCGGGTGAGATCAAACAAGTAATGATGAGATCTTCACCCCAGGCAACCTTATCTCTATTCAGAGAGATCCTGGGCTTTGGAAGGCTCACTGAAAAACACAGTTTAGCATAATGTTAGTTTAGATAAATATAAGTTTATGCATTTAAATAGCAAATCTTTGTAACTTTTTAATTTTACAACCCACTACCAACTCACTACCACCCCAGCTCTTCCCCATCCCCCCATCCTTCATCTAACTTAATTTCATGTCTGTTAGCAGTAATCGTTCTGTACAGAACATGCCCCACTCTCCCTTCCTTTGTCATTGCTAACTACCTTTTCTAATAACTACCAGGGGTAGCTGTAGCTCAAGAGGTAGAGTAGGCCATCTCCTAACTGGAAGGTTGGTAGTTTGATTCTTGGCTGCTCGAGTCTCCAATCAAGGTCAAGGTCAAGGTTCTTTATTTGTCACATGCATAGTTATACAAGTATAACACACAGTGAAATGTAGCCTGACACGCTCCTCGACATGTGCAGACATCTGCATGCCTAAGTGCATTTTGACAAGATAGCAAACACCAAGTTCCTCTCTAAACCATTTCTCATTGTATCGGACCGATGCCGATACGTAATATCGGATCGGTCCATCTCTAATTACTACTATAGATTTCTTAGAGATGTTAGTTTGCATGGACTGAAACAGTACTGTACGAGTAGCAGCAGGATTTCATGGTCACCAGGGAGACCAGCAAAATCAAAGACAGTTTTTTTATTAAGAAAACAAAAGAGATTCCACACATGTAACTTACCTATAAGGCATTTACGGCATGCCATAAAAAAGTATCTTGCTCCCACCCACCCCCTTCATTTCTGTGTGAATGAGCTTGACTGATCATGCTTATCTATGCTTATCTGTCTGGGTTCCTTTTTTTTGTTTTGTTTTATTTTCTTTTTGTTTTTGTTTTCAGCCTATGAAGTGTTGATCACGGGAATGAGATGATAAATCCTGCGGATATATAAGTCTTACATAATTTAACTTACATTTAGGTAAGTACTGTAGGGTTGGAATGGCTGGTTTGAGTAACATTTGATTTCAGAACCTTGTTAGTTCCTGGATATGTCTGGCATCATGACTTTCTGTGTGTGCAGCCAGGCAACAAGAAACACATGAAAAACATGAAGTGTTTGATTTCACCCAGTGTCAGCTAAACACTGTACAGACTGTGTAAAGAAGTTACATATTAAACAGTTTTAAAAAGTTGTGACAAAAAAAGAAAATCTGTCAGCATGACTCTTTGAAGAGTCTTTAGAAGACCTTTTCCTATTTTCACAAAGCAAAATCTGTTTACCTGCTCGTTAATCATTTGCTGTTTGCTGGTTGTTGAAATGGTTTTGAAAACTTTTAGCTGAGATTCTGATGTTTCTGTGGATGCTACACGTTTATATATTTAACAGATCTGGCTGTACATCCTGTTAAACCAGATGTTCTCCCTTTCACATTTGATACTGGGGGCATTGGGGTTCAATGGATTAATTGTTTATTGCTTAATTACTTTGTGGCCATAAGGAAGATTTTTATCAATAGGAAAAGCTGTAAAACCTATGAAAATATAGTTAAAAGTCCAAAATTTATGCTTGTTTGTGGTGAGCAGCAGATGAAACAAGTTAAGAACTATAAATGACGTCAAGTTTTCTAGTCTCTTTGCATGTGGCCAAATGGTGTGCTCATTTAATAAAGTTGCTTGCATGAATTCTTAGCAGGGCTGAAGATTCGCCTCCCACGGGCCATTAATACCTGACAAATGAAATTATTATTTCACTTGTTTGACACCCGAGGTCTAATAACTTAATGGCAAGAAAACGCATTTATCATCATTTTTGTATTAAAAAAGTCTTTGTGCTATAAAAATATCATAATCCAAAACAAATTGAATAACATGATGTTGTCATGCTGACATCAGCGCTAATAATCAGTATATATTGCTGATATCCTTGATCTTATAATAGAAACAGGCTAATGTCATCATATTGTAATACAAACAGGATGTTATTAGCATGTTCTCATAGGAACATCTTAAAACACTAAAACAGGTTTTTGTATAGTTCTTGCCCTTCGGAGGAGTTGTGGTCTCCACGTGCTCTTGTTTCTCAGTGATTTCTTTCCTTATGGTGCATCTTCTCTTAGGTTTTCCACCTCCAAAAATCACTTTAACCTCTTTGTTCAAGTTATAGCTCAAGGTTCAAGGTCCAAGGTTCTTTATTTGTCACATGCATAGTTATACAGTGAAATGTAGCCTGACACACTCCTCGACATGTGCAGAAAAATTGGGGGGGGGGGGGGGGGGGGGGTGTAGAGGAAGAACATTATATATATATACAGTGTTGGGAAGGTTACTTTTAAAATGTATTCCATTACAGAATACAGAATACATGCCCCAAAATGTATTCTGTAACGTATTCCGTTACGTTACTCAATGACTGTAACGTATTCTGAATACTTTGGATTACTTAATATATTATCATGCTTTTTACAACAACGTGAATGTACTATTGCTGTGTGATTTATTACTATTACTGAAGGTCCGCGACTCCGAACTGTAGTAAAGGGACCTCTGACTAATACGGCGGGGTCCCTGTCGGCTCGTAGCCGAAAAATAGCTTTACTTTGTTGTGTGGGTCAATTTTTCTTGCGAGAGACAGAGACAGGCGTTGAAAGACTGCTCCAACGGAACTTATTGTTTTCGGAGGAAAACACGAACACGGTGTACAGTCGAGTCTTAATAGCTTACTTACAACTGGGCTCGTCAGGCACTCTTCTTGGCTGCAGTGGTTATTATTATATTGTAACGACTGTGGGTTTGGGGAGCTGACTGGCTAAACTGCTCACTAGCTAAACGGCTAGCAGGGCGCTAGCAGCTATCGCTAAACCTCGCAATGAATGGAGAGCGCTCGTGCCTCGTACACCGCATGACCCCGAGCGTCTCAGCAGCAGACTGGTAATCCCCGAATAATCCAGCAGGAGGCAGTAGTGGTTCACCACGGGCATTTATTCACCTTTTTTAACAGCCACGTAACACTGCTGACACCGAACCCCTATCACGCTCCCACCACATAGAGTCGCGGTGTCAGCCAACCATGCCAATTCACCCCCCTCCACAGAACACACATCAACTTCACTGTGGCTTACATTAACATAACACTAACACAACATGCAAATCAAACACATATGAACTAGCAGAACGATAGAAAACACAGAGACAACACAATACCCAGAATGCACCTGGCTAACAACCCCAGTCAGGTCATTACACAGCCCCCTCCCAAAAAGGTTTAGTGTCCCCACAACCTTAACTGTCCACAATGTAGTCCAGCAAATGTCCGGGCCGGTGTCGAGTACGCTTCGGCCTCGACTGGGAATCCATGGCGCCCCCCTCCGGGCCGGGCGTAGGGGGCGAGGAGTCCCCAGGCTGCACACCAGCCTGCAGGTTGGGGGCAAGCGGATGGTATGGCGCCAGCCGGTCCTTGTGTAGCACCACCCGCCTTCCCCGCCCCGGCATCCGGACTCTGAAGACCACCTCCGACAGCTGTTCCAGGATTTCGCCCGGGCCTTGCCAGTGGCTCATGAGCTTGGGGGTCAGCCCCCGCTTCCTCTGGGGGCAGAACACCCA